TGTGTGTGTGTGTGTGTGTGTGTGTGTGTGTGTGTGTGTGTGTGTGTGTTTGGGGGGGGGGGCATCTGTGCGTGTGTGTGTGTGTCTCTCTGTCAGTGTGTGTCTGAAAATATTTGATGAATTGTGATACTTGTATCTGAGAAATCGAAAAGCGTTCGAAGAAATGAACAACTACGGTCCTGCATGGTCCGACAGTGAATCGTGAATCGGTACCTTTATACTGAGCGTATCGCCCATTTAAAGTTGAACTCAGCTTTAGATGACTACAGACGGAGCAAATTTTCATCCCCTCGTTATCAGCGGCCGGATCATAGCAGTTGCGTGTTATCCGGCGCTCGGGTGACCGTGGATCAACAACCGCAGAGCAAACCATCATGAGATACTGTGTCAACCTCCGTGTGTCAACCGGGCCGAGCTAGCCTCTACCAGGCTTCGGGAGGCGGCTGGAAAGAAGAGAAGAAGTTGGCCAAATAGAGAGATAAATGCCGAGGGAGTTGGTCCGCTAGAGAATACGTGGGTGCGGCAAACTGTACTCTCTAGCTAATCTCCAAGCAGATGTTGGCGCAAAAAACGGTATCAAATTGGCCAGGCAGTATCCATTGGCCAGACTGTAACTATTAGCCACCCTATGGCTACAGCCTGGCCAATGGATACTGCCTGGCCAATTTGATACTGTCTTTTGCGCCACCTAAACATCTGCTTGGACATTACTCTCTAGCGGACCAACTTCCTCGGTATGTTATCTCTCTATTTGGCCAATTTCTACTCTTTCCAGCCGCCTCCCGAAGCCTGGTAGAGGCTAGTTCCGAGTGTCCGGGATATTTGCTCGCTGCTCCTTATGGCACGGAGACCGTGTAAACAGGTGCACCCCGCCCGGGACCGGGCAGGCCTCGCAACTAGCTGTTACTAGCGCGGGAGTCGCTCACTCGTCGCACAAGATGGCATGGGAGAAGTACCAATCCAATACTACTTCGCAATTCATTCTACTGTTCGAAATACGGTAGTACCATTGCAGGTGCACCTCTCCCAATCTCAGGGACCGCAACTTAGTTGTGAGGCCTGTCCGGTCTTACTAGCTGTTACTAGCGCGGGAGTCACTCACTCATAAGAGGTTGGGAGAAGCGTCAACCCAACAGTAACGTTACATACGTGCACATCGCAACTAAGTATCGTTCTACCGTTCCGTATACAGTGCCACTACAATACGGACTACAGGTCTATTATGTTGTGCAATGTCCCGACTTTATGTGTTTGTTTGTTTGTTTGTTTGTTTGTTTGTTTGTTTGTTTGTTTGTTTGTTGGTTGGTTGGTTGGTTGGTTGATCGATACACAAGTTGGTTGCTCAGTAAATTTCACAATTAAGGTCGTTCTGCTGAACTTTTGTGTGGAGCCCATGTACATGCTAAACTACATGTACTGTGTCAATGGACGTAACTAAAGTACGAGTAATACAGAACACAACTACAGTCTGATCTGCTATAAGGTACACTACGTTTGCTAATGTAAACTGGCTCCTTCTCCTCTCGCTCACACAGCAATGTCGAGTCTACCGAGATCTACTCTCCAAGCACAGTTTTAGGCCTGGGCTTATTTTTAACGTGTTTGGGCTTACTTGTGGCGTTATTGGCCTGGCTGCAGAAAAAAATATGCCAGTGCAAAAATTAAAATCCGATAAAAAAAACGCCTAAAACACGTTAAAAATGCGCCGAAGCCCAAACCTCTGCTTTTTTATTTATTCCAACATGTAATCACCAGACGTGGTGACGGCCCACTCAAGTTTTATCAACTTATATTAATGCCGCCACCAACACAGGGGACAAATACATGACAGGACAATACTCATTTACACCTGAGCTAAGTGAGGAAAGTCGTGTAAAGTGCCTCTCCCAAGGGCACAAGATCGGTGGCATGTCAGGACTCGAACCCGGGACCTCTAGGTTCCGAGTCGCGCACTCTGCCGCTACGCCACACGACCCCACAACCTCTGCTTGGATCCGGAGAGTACCGGTAGAACATATTGTTCTCGTAACGATAACATTGTGTTTTGATTACGGGGTGCGCAGGCCGTGACGACCCCCTCTCCGGGACCGTTTCCTCCGAGCCCGCCGCGCGGCTCTTTCATCCCGGTAACAATCTCCCGCCAATCTAGCCTCTACCAGGCTTCGGGAGGTCGCTGGAAAGAGTAGAAATCGGTCAAATAGAGAGAGATAACATGCCGAGGGAGTTGGTCCACTTGAGAGTACGGGAAACTGTTCTCTCCAGCGGACCAACTCTCCCAGCATGTTATCTCTCTCTATTTGACCGATTTCTACTCTTTCCAGCGGCCTCCCGAAGCCTGGTAGAGGCTACCGCCGATCCCCAGGCACGAGATCAATCTCTAATCTACGAGCAGATCGTAAGAAACCGGCAACGCTGTAGCCTCTACCAGGCTTATGAGGCGGCTGGCAAGAGTAAAAATTGGCTAATAGACAGATAACATTACGATATCATGCCAAAGAAATACAGATTCAGATACATTTCAGAGCGACAAACTGTACTCATTTGGATAGCGAACTGACTCCCCTGGCATGTTATCTGTCTAGCCGATTTCTGCCCATTCCAGCCTCGTCTGAAGCCTGTTAGAGGCTAGAAGGAGATTTAACTGACCCCTCCTGATCATTACTCTGCAGGTCGCCCGACAAAAAATACCAAGAAAATCCCAAAAAGCCCCAAAATGCAGTACCCGAAGTAACTACTAGTATACACAACTTACGCTACAGTTCCTGAACATATTGCAAGACGGAAAGAAGACGCCAACATGACAAAACAGGACTCAGATTGCAGGAGTACATTTATCATTTGAGTGGTTATTAGTAATTAGGACAGTGCAGATCAACGCTATCCCAAACCAACATCATCCAGATTTAATTTCAGGCCAATAAGCACAAAATCTCTCCCGTATATCTGGTTAGAACTAGTAGCGAAACAAAATTTGTGTACGTGTGTGTAAAGGGAGGGGGGCAGTCCGACCATCTGGCGGCATCCCTAGTAGGCTACCGAAGCGGCGGCGTATCCTTTACACGATCTGTATCACTACACGCCGCCGTTTCGTCAACATGCCTGCCCTGTAGGCTGTACTACTACTGTGTACAACACACCGACTCGCCTGCCCTGTACTACTGTATACAACACACCGACTCGCCTGTCCTGTACTACTGTATACAACACACCGACTAGCCTGCCCTGTGTGCCTGCTGTATGTACAAGCGAACCTGTGTGCTGCCTGCTGTGTACAACACACCGACTTGTGAAGAAGCGGGGCGTTTATAGACTCTCCTCCAGTTTTATGATGTGGAAACAAAAGAACTCAATTAGCGTCCTGGCGCGGCGCGTGTGAGTGAGTGGACCAGAGGTGAACTGTGGACCTCATCACGTTTGGTAAGACCGTAGGCCTAGCCTCCACCAGGCCTTCCTAACCTAAGGGATGCTAGACCCATAGCACAGCACACTATACTCAATATTCAGTGTGCAGGGTAACTGTGGGCCTAGTGTGCTATGGGTCTGGCATCCAGGCCGTATCCTAAGGGAGTTATGATACTAGTACATGTAGTAGAATTCGGCAAAAATAGGGCCTGACAGGCTAGGGGAGTGGGTTCAACGTCGTAAGGTTTCTTTTTTTCCCTAGATTTTACATGAACTCTACAGTGGCCAAACTCCGAATTTCGCTACTATTTTTGACATTTCTACTGTTGTTGAGCCCGCGTTGTTAGTCCGGTAGAGGCTAGTAAGACCCGGTAATGGACAGGAACAATCCCGAGAAAGGAAAATATACAGTCCTCCACAAGGCAACATCGTCCCGCCCTCGGAGGACATGGCCGGTCGTGCCGGCCGGTCTGACCTGGACAAAGGCAGGGGTTTACAGGATCTTACAGTGCGTAAGGTGCGGAACAACTTCCCGGCACGCCAGCACGGGGCTTCTGTGCTTCTGGGGCCGATGGATGACTAACAGACGCCGGGGCGCTGAGCTGAGGTTCGCCGTACAGAAGGAGCGCACGTCGATGTGTTCTAGTACTAGCCTCAGAAGCAGACGCCTCTGCCGGCTGACTTGTACCCGTCTGATTCGTCACTCGACGCCTGGACCAACAAGCGAAGTCTCAAAGCGTCCCGGTCCGCACGCCTGGCTTCCCGCTTGTATCGCCGCTAAGCCCAACTTGTTATTCTTATCAGTGGGTGCTGGTTTCTCGTGTCCCCCCTCTGCCAGCCCAGTGCACACTCATCTGACGACATTCCGCATGCTAGCGGGCATAGCGCGCGCGGAAGCCGGCCCAACGATAAGGTTTCTATACGTGCAAATCCCTCTTCTTTCTCACCCTCGTTACCCGTCATAACAAGAAGAAAACAAACACGGAATTCCTCTTTATCAGCACCCCTTTCTCGTGTTTGACGTTACAAGGGAAGGCTGTACGGTCTTACCTGTGTCTGTGGGCCCAGTACGGGGAGGCCGTCCGTCCGACGCAAACCCCCGGCCACCAGGAGGCCGGCCACCGCCGCGGAACACAGCACCGCCCGTACAACCCAGTCTGCGGCGCCCATGCCGCGGCCGTCCCTGCTCGCAGGATCGCGGTGCCTGCCTGTACAGTAGGCCCGAGGAGAGCAGCCGCCGTCTGTTGGTTCCCGCCGAGCCGATGTCCAGTCGAACGGGGCTGCAGGGTTCGGGCACGACTCACTGGTAATGCGGTATTTAACAGTCACGGCCGCCGCTGCTTACGTCGGTGCTGTTTGAGCTGTTTCCGAATGGTCGGCATCAAAGAGCGCTGCCAGCCCCCTGGAACATGGAAGGAATTAGGGAGGGAAGTTTAGAAATATTCCTTTGGTGTTGGTGGCTACCCCTAGTGTCAGACGCCGTCTCTGCCAGGCCTACCCGCTTCATGGTCAGACTGCACTAATGCACGCGGCCCGGCTGAGACTACGGCGCCGAGCCAGTCATGTTTATTTAACATCATCCCGCTTTTGTGGGTCCCGCCTTGGTCCGCCGCCGGCCCAACCAACCAGCGGGGCGACACCAACCCGTAAACAGGGGTGGACAGCTCTCGCGCCGGCGCTAGGTGACCCGATCCGACCCTTTAATACATGTCAATAGCAGGGTATGTTCATACAACAACATTTCACACGGTCCGAACTTCTTTAGCAAACACGCGGCATCTCGCGCAGTTTTTGTTTTCGTTTCCTTCCCTCTGGTACAACACGCGCGCCCAGCGCTGGTTCTACCACCCTCCCCTCCCCTCCCAACGTCCACCCACACCCAGGCAGGAACGATTAAAACACTACTAATACGGCGGCCGGCCTTCCCTCCCCCCGTCGGAAAAATATTTGGCGCTATTCAGTCAACTCGTGGCTCATTCTCATCGAGTTTTGCGTGTGTGGCTGTAAGGGGAGATCGCACCGTTATAAAAAGCCCGGACGTTCTTGAATGGCGAGGCTGAGAGAGGAAGACCCCTCAACCCCCGGCGCTAGTCGCCTGCCTGCGTGCCCCTCTCCTACTACCAGCCTTATGCACGACAGGAAGGACGGGCAACGCAAGAACAGGCCGCGGTTCTGCACAGGCTGTTCTCTTGCCTAAACTATGACCACTTGTGGTAGCACGGAGCATGCAGACGGACCTCTTGTGTCAATACCCGGGGCCCACTTAGTCAAAATAACATGCCGCGTTTACTTTTGAAAGTAACCGCTACATATCATAACTCCCGGACCGTTAAGACTTAAGCTGTACACACGCACGATTGCCCCGAAAGAGTTTATCTCGAGGTCCGACGAGCAACAAAAGGGGGCGTTTTCCCCTGCCCAGGTGACAACTGCTTCATCAAGACGAGCACAGCACGGTCTGTATCTGTATGTCTGTATAGCCGGTATAACCGCCCTTCGGCGTAACACACCAGCTTCTGTATCTGTATAGCCGGTATAACCGGTATAACCGCCCTTCGGCATAACACACCAGCTTCTGTATCTGTATAGCCGGTATAACCGCCCTTCGGCTTCGCAGGCACGCGGCGCGGCGGTAGCTAGCTATGTTACACTGAACGACTTGTTACACTCAATCTTCTGTAAAACTTTCTAGTGATGATGCCCCAACTGTGCCTGGTGGCAACGAGTTCCAGTCTACGATAGTTTCTCGGAAAATACGAGTTTTTGAACACCTCAATTCTTGGTTGAAAACTCTGATATTTGAAGGCATGACCGTTTCTTGGTCCTTCTGGGCTGGTATCAGATACTTAGTGGTTGATACGTCCACCAGTTTATCAGTCATTTTCGCCTGGCCGGCTTTCCTCATCAGCCATCGGCAAATGAAATTGTTGCCGCAACATTTCGACCCAATTTGCAGCAGGGACCGTCAAAGAGACGCGCACGGAACACGATACACCGACTCGACTCGGTCGGACGGTCACCGGGCAGCGCGTCGCCAGGCGTGAACGGGGGTTACCTGTTGCCCTACCTGTTGCCCTACCTGTTGTCCTGCCTGTTGCCCTACCTGTTGCCCTACCTGTTGCCCTACCTGAGAATGAGAGTGGGTTACCTGTTGGCTGTTGCCATACCTGTGGACGACAGTGGCTTACTAGCCTGTTGGCCTGTACATGCATGTGGACAGGCTTACCTTTGGTCTACCTGTGGATGAGAATGGGTTACCTGTTGCCCTACCTGTGCATAAGAGATGGTTACCTGTTGCCCTACCTGTGCATGTGGACGAGATTACCTGTTGCCCTAACTGCAGATGCCAGTACGTGGGTTAACACGCTGTTCTATCTGTGACAGCAGAACCCATGCTAAATGAACGTCGGTCTCACCTGTTGCCCTACCTGTGTATGTATATGGACCAGCTTACCTGTTGCCCTACCTGTAGACGACACGTTGTTCTATCCGTGACAGGTCGTGTTGCCCATGCCAAGTGAACGTCGGTCTCACCTGTTGCCCCGAAACCCCCTCTCTGCTCATCAGCCCGACAGGTGCGGCGGCCCTAAGAGCGTAAGACTCTCCGGCGAGGGAAATAAACACGACAGGAGAATGTCAAGACGTGCCACTTACCTGTTCCCCCGGCAGGTACCGGACAAAAAGCGCCCTGTGTGCGGGGAGGTAACACTCGGGCTCACCTGTCCCTCAGGTATGCGGAGCCGCCTCCTTACCTGTCCATCCTTAGTGTGTGGGCAGGTGAGATGGTGACCTTAACACGACAGCACGCTCCAGAACTGACAGAACTTGTCAACAATCATAACTCACGCACTGCCAATTGCCCACTTGCCCAGGGCAAGTAAAAATACTGTTCCGGCAGATGCATGTGCCACTAGACTTGCCCGATTGGACAAGTAAATTTTTTGGATGCAAAGTATAGCCGTTATGGTGTTTGGAGCAAGTCAAACCACCTTGTTTCGATAAATAAAGCATCCAACAAATATAAACTACAAAATAAGATAATTTCCTTGGTGATAGTAAAGATGCATAGAAATATGTATATTTTGGGAAAGTGAAAAGTTGGTTCGGGCAAGTGAAAATGACCTTGTACTATTATTTTTGAAAACTTGTCCAACCCTGGCTGGGTTTGGGTGATGGGTAGTTGGGAAGTGTCTTGTAGGGGGGGGGCGGATTTTTGTGTCCGGCCACCAGCAACACATCTGGTGTGAATTAAGATCAATAAAAGACAGGGACCCACGTGCCTCTTGATCAGTCTTGCCCAAGTCGGGGTCGAGTGCGGTCATGTATCCCCTCAACCTAATCTAACACTGGTGGCAGCGGCGGGGGACGCTACAGTCTTCTAACGATAACGACACACTCAGGGGCCTGTTCTCGACCTCTGGTTCTAGCGGAAAGCCGGCCGTTTAAAAGTCTGAAATTTAAAGGTGTTCCAAAACTAATGATATTGTCTGGCAATTCAGGACCGCCTTACCTACCAGATTTGATATCTTCGAGTCTCCTCGAGCCACCTTTGCTTTACTCGTAGTCCCGACCGTAGTAAAAAAAAACGTAGGTAAAAGTCTCAGCCTTTTTGAGGCCGTAGATTGTTTGTCCACTGTGTTCACTCCGACATTGGAAGGCGGAGCCCTTCCCTCTCCTTCCACCCTCTTTTACCTCCCCAACCGAAGCGTGGTGCCCATTTGACATCTGGGAGGAGTGAGGGAAGTCGTGCAAAGTGCCTATCCGAAGATCGAGACACAAGATCAGTGACATGACAGGATTCGAAGCGAGGACCTCTTGGTGCTGGTCCAAATACCCTGTCGTTACGCCACACGACGCCACCTGTCGGAAGTAACATCTGCAACTGATGGCGAAAAGACGATGTAGGCGATGTGCCAGTGTTGATTTTGCAACGACACGAACAACGCATGGCAACACATACATCATTGCAGTTGGGCGGCGGTACTACGGTCAGATAGGCCCGTTCTACTCTCTGCAAGTGAGAGAGGAACAGGTAAACCATTATTGACGGAGCTGAGAACAGGTTGATCTCCGTGACTGTTTCAATAACCCGTTGCAGGTTATTTAGATTCAGGTTTCCTGCTCCAGTCAAGCGCCGCTCCCACCAAGCAAGCTTACAAATCCCGAGTCCAAATTACCCGTAGCCTGGGTTTCAGACTGTTGTCAGGGCCAGTAAACAGGCCTGTAGCCTGAATGTGAGACTATTGTCATGGGCCAGTACACAGGCCAGTCGACGGTTAGACCCGGTTTCTCATGATCTACCTGATGGGTGTCCCTGGGGGCATGTTGGCCCTGGAGACGAGGCGGTCGCCCGTATTCTGTCCCGCGCATGCAACAGCCTGGCACCCAGGCTAGCCCTGGAGCTGGGAGCTAGGCTGTATACTGGCCCTGGCAACGGTCTGGCATCCAGACTAGCCATGGAACCTGTATACAGGCCCTACCTGTACCCCCCCCCCCCCGTGACCGAGGCAGCAGTCTGGCACCCAGGCTAGCCTGTATACGGATCCTGTAAACAGCCTGGCACCCAGGCTAGCTCTGGAGACGAGGAGCTAGCTACATTCCCTCCCCACCTGTACCGTCCCCCTGGCCGTGGCAGCAGCCTGGTACCTAGGCTAGCCTGTATAAGCCCATGAAACCCTCCCCACCTGCAGCAGCCTGGTACCTAGGCTAGCCTGTATAGGCCCTTGAAACCCTCCCTACCTGTACCGTCCCTCCCAGCCAAACCAGCAGGATGTAAACCGTCATCGCGGCGCGTCCAACGAGGCAATGGAGCATTGTGCGTCCCTAAGCCCTCCTGTCCGACACCCGGATAACGGGCCACTCCAGGCGGCTGGAGAGACCGGCAGATGAGAGAAGCGCCCGTCAGCCGTCAGAAGCCGCGCGCTCATGCGGACAGCGATGGCCTCGAGAGCCCGCAATGCGCCCGTGCCGTCTTGTGTTTTTCCGCAGTATTTCCCCCGCGAGGGCCTGTAGTAGTATTGATTTTTGTAGTAGAATGTAGTTTGTATAACAGTGCGAGAATTGAACTTTATAGACGAATAACATCGATGTTTCCCCACTTTACACACCTAATTTCACATTTTTAATGAACTTAGACAAACCCTCGTAGACTTGCCCTGGCAGGGCATGTTGTTCGTAGTAACGAACCAGCTGGTAGACTAGTACAGTGGCTTCCTACTGGGAGACGTAGAGTGGGACGTCCTTATACTATACACCTTTGTCCATGCTAGAGAGAGACACTGGTCTCGCAGGGCCCGCATTAGTGTCCGCTATGAGAGATAGGACATACTGGAGTAACTTTAT